AGCCAGCCTGTCTGTGAGACAATATTTTCTCTAGAAAACTGCAGATCAGGACATCATAACCCATTTCAGGACCTTTGTCTTCTGGACCGCCCGGCCCCATCAGCCATTGGAAAACAAAAAAGTGCATTAAGAGCAGGGGACACTCTTTGATTGGCTGGCAGGTGCTGCAGTTTCTGCAGGGAGTCCTGACATCATCAGTACCCAGCCAATCACGGCCAAGTCAGGTCCAGCTGGGCGGGAGTGAAAATTTCAAACGGTAGCATTGTAGAAAGATGGCGGTTTTGCAATGTACTATATCTCAGCTTATTTTGGTGGATTACTGCAGGCTGGCATCACTTCAATTGACTTAGTAAACTACCTTGGTGGCTTCTTCTCCAACTTGGTGAACTTTAATTCAGAACATCAGAACATTTTCTTGCTCGCCAGGCGCACAGACTCACTGAACGGTTGATCGCTGGTGCCAGTTGCCACTTATCGGGCTCAGTAGCCACGCTTCAGGTTTTGTATCCATGGCTTGGATCTCACTATCTGCAGCCGTTTTAAATTACTCGATTTCAATATAAACATAATAAAAGTGAAACATTTGTAAGGTACGTAAAGGCTTTCCCCTGACATTATGTCCAGAGCGTCCTTACCTTCCCGCCGGAGTGGTACGTATTGATCTACTCACATTTGCATGTTTTTGAATTGCTAGGTTGGCAGAAGCTGGGGCTGACAGTGGGAGCTCACTGGGAACATCAGGAACTTGCCGCGCTCCTGGATTCGAACCAGTGACCTTTCGGTTAGCAAGATCAGCAATTCAGCCATTTAATGTAAATAATACAATAATATAATAATAAAATATACTAATACTATTAGTAAATAAAATATAAAAAATATATTGAAATATTAATATATTAATAAAATATTTTATTATACTAAAATAAAAATAACATAAATAATAAAAAATAAATATAATAGTAATAATACGGTGGAAACGATAGAAATCTCATGCTTTTTTTAATAGACACGGAAATCACAAGAGGCCAAAATGCCATTTTTTGTGTATTTTTTTTCTTTTAGCAATAAAAATATGAAATTCTTTTTACAAGGAAATATATATAAAAAAGCTTAATGCAGAGACAGAGCTAATAATAATCCATTTACAAAAAGGAAGCCCCTTTTAATCATATTTAAACTTCATAAACAAGGAGTGAATTTTGTGTGTTTGTGTCCTTTCTGTGTATTTCTGTAATCTATTTATTTGTGTATTTTTGTGCATTTTTGGTGTGATTTTCCTGTATTTTTCCTCTATTTATTTGCACATTTTTTGCAAATTTTTCTGTATTTATTTCTGTATTTCTTTTCTATTTTTATGTAATTTTTGCATATATTTTCTCTATTTTTTCCTGTGGATTTTTTGTATATTTTTCTGTATTCATGTCTGTATTTTATATATATGACCAATTTCTATATTTTCCCTACTTACAATTTCATATTTTTCCTAATTATTTTTTCCTAATTCATTTCCCATATTTTTTTCCAAATAATCCATATTTCTCCATATTTTTCCTAAATTTTGTATATTTTTTCCTAATTTTCCATATTTTTCCAACTAATGCATATCTCTCAATTTCTTCTACAATTTTTTTTGAATTAATTATCCATATTTTTCAGAGTAAATTTTCCACAAATTAATTTTCTAAATATTTTTGGACTTAATTCGTTTTTCCCTAATAATTCATTTCCCCCATATTTTTCCTAATTAATTCAAATATTTTTCCTAATTTATTTTTGATATATTTCTCTAATTATCCATATTTTTAATTTTCATATTTCTTTCCAATTTACTTTCCACATTTTAAAAATAACCTGTATTTTACATATTCATATTTTTCTGAATTAATTTTTAATTTTTCAAATAATCCATACTTTTTAAATTTATTTTCCAAATAATCCATATTTCTTCCTAATGAATTTTCCATATTTTTCCTAATTATTTCCCCATTTTTCTGAATGAATTTCCTATATTTCTTCCTAATTTTCTATATTTGTTCTGAATTATTTTCCAAATAATGTATAATTCTTAATTTTTTCTTCAATATTTTTCCCACTTTTTCCATATTTTCTGAATATATTTTCGATTTTTTCAAATTAATCTTCCTTATTTTTTCCAAATAATCCCTATTTCTTTATATATTTTCTTCCAAATTTTATTACATTTTATGTTTGAAAAATATATAAGTAAATATGGAAGAAAATACTATTATTTGGAAGAAAATGTTAATATTATTTGGAAGAAAATACCTTCCAAATAATACCTTCTCCCTGTATTAAAGTACAGAAACAAATACATAAAAATAAACACCAAACAAATAAATTAAATCCTTCCTTATTGTGTGTGTCAATCTAGCCCATCAAAATGCATGATGACGACAGATGGTTTTATTGCTCATGGTGAGACATGCATTATTTTTTGTTTTATAAAAAAGACAACAGTAAACAACAATAAACAACAACAACAACAACCAATAATTTGTGTGTTTCTGGACCCTCCGATAAGCACCATAAAAGGAAAGAAAAGGAGGAAATGGAAGTGTTTTTCTCGAGAGCTCATTTGCATAGGCCACACCCCCTAAATATTAAAGGGAAGCCGTCCTGAGAGAGATAGATGCATAGATGGGACTCTATTATTATTATTATTATTATTATTATTATTATTATTATTATTAATTTCCCTTTGCACTCTTTTTCCAGTATTATTAATATATTTTGATTAAATTATTATTATTATTTTGAATAATTTATTATTATTATTATATTTTAATGAATGGAAGAATTTCTGGGAGGGAAAAAATTCAATTAAGAAAATTTAGAAAATGTTATATTTTGATAAAATAATTTATTAACATTTTATTATTATGATCTTTATTAAATTATTCTTATATTTTGATTAGTTAATTTATAATTAAGTCATTATTATTATATTTTAATGGATGAAAAAATTCCTGGGTGGGAAAAAAAATCAAATGTGAAAATATTCGATGACTATTTTTTTAAAAATGTATTTAAAAAATGAATTTGAAATATGGGTTCTTGTAGGTTTTTCAGGCTATACGGCCATGTTCTAGAAGCATTATCTCCTGACATTTCGCCTGCATCCTCAGAGGTTGTGAGGATTAAAAATATGTTTCAAAACTGAAAATATTCAACGAAAACTGAATGTAAAAAATGGATGAAAAAATTTGATTAAAAAAATCAAATGAAAGTATTCAATGAAAATAAATACAAAAATTGAATGAAAATATTCAACGAAAAAGTATTAAATAAAAAATAAACTGAAAATATTCAATAAAAATTGAATGTCAAAAAATCGGTTAAAATTGGATGAAAATATTCAATATAAATAATTGAATAAAAATACTGAAAATATTCAATAAAAAATAAAGAAAAAATGAAATAATATCCAATTAAATTGTTCTGAGTTTTCCGGGCTGTCCGGCCATGTTCCAGAAGCATTCTCTCCTAACGTTTCGCCCACATCTTTGGCAGGCATCCTCAGAGGTTGTGAGGTCTATATCTATCTGTGGAATGATGTCTAGGATGGGAGAAAGAAACCTTGTCTGTTGGAGGCAAGTGTGGATCATAGAATCATAGAGTTGGAAGAGGCCTCATGTGCCATCCAGTCCAACGCCCTGCCAAGAAGCAGGAAGATCACATTCAAAGCACCCCCGACAGATGGCCATCCAGCCTCTGCTTAAAGGTTCCAAAGAAGGAGCCTCCATTACACTCTGGGGCATAGAGTTCCACTGCTGAACGGCTCTCACAGTCAGGAAGTTCTTCCTCATGTTCAGATGGATGCCTGCCATAGACACAGGTGAGAATTCTTCTGGAACATGGCCAGACAGGCTGGAAAACTCACAGCAACCCAGGGATTCCAGCCATGAAAGCCTTCAACAGCAGGTTATAGTGAGCTCCTCATCCCAGGGTTCCTTGCCCTCTCCATTGGTGTGGAATCTGCACGACCAATGAAAATTAAATGAAAAAAAATTATTGAGATCGGATGAAAATATCGACAAAAAAATAATTGAATAAAAAAATTGAAATAATAGCCAATGAAAATTGACTGTAGAAAAAAATAGATTTAAATGGGATGAAAAAATATCATTAATAATATGGATATTATTAAAATCATCATAAATGTGTGTATTGCCTCTCAAAATAATGAAGTGTCTGAAAAAATTTAAATATATAAAAGTAATAAATTAGTGTGTTCCCAAAATAACTGTAGTGTCCGAAAAAAATATTTATAAAATATTAAAATACTAGCTGTCCCCTGCCACGTGTTGCTGTGGCCCAGTCTGTGTATATGTGTATTTATGTGTTGTAATGTATTTTTTGTTTTTTGGCTTTTTGAGTCTTTCACTGTGTTTTTCTGTGTTTTTGTGAGTGATGGTCACTCGTTGGCCTGATAGGTGTCTTGTGTCCAAATTTGGTGTCAATTTGCTCAGTGGTTTTTGAGTTATGTTAAACCCACAAACAAACAATACATTTTTATTTATATAGATGATAATTGTAATAATAATAATTTTGTTCTCCGAAAATAATGTAGCGTCCAAAAATAAATAAATAAATCCAGAATTATTTTAATGACTTGAAGCATTCTTGGGGGGCGGGGGGGGGGGGATTGAATGAAAAATTTCAATTAAAAATATGATAATAATAATAATAATAATTCCATAATACTAATAAATCCAGATTATTTATTATTACATTTATTTTTATGAATGGAAGCATTCTCAGGGGAGAAAAATTAATGGAAATATTCAATTGATAATAATAATATTTATTAAAATAATAAATCCAGATTTATTATTATTATTAACTGACCCCATAACCCTCCAAAAACAGTATTATTTGAAATAATAATGATAAAATTTTGTGCAAAAATTATTAAAATATAATAAGTTGCGCAAAAATATTAAAGAATAATAATAATAACAATAATAATACTGTTTTTCCCAAATTATTTGTTGACCAATCAGTCCCATTTTGGACCTTTAAATCTTAAATGTTAAGATGAACTGACCACTCTGAAAAAAATTATTAAAATATAATAAGTTGTGCAAAAATATTAAAATATAATAATAATAATAATAATAATAATAATAATAGTGTTTTTTCCACAAATTATTTGCTGACCATTTAGTTCCACTTTGGACCTTTAAATTTTAATGACCAGATGAACTGACTGCTCTGAAAAAAATATTAAAATAATAATAATAGTGTCCATCCCCTTATTAAAGAGCTTGACCGTAATGTCCATCAGAGTCTGAATAATCCAAAGAGTTGACCATTAAGACCCAATCATCTGACCTCATCAAATAACCTCTTGTTGTCCAATTCCTCTTTAGGGTCCGAATAATCCGAAGAGATGAACATAAAACCCAATCATCTGATCCGTTGACCTCTTGACCTTAATTGAAATGACTTCTTGACCTTAATGTCTATCAGAGCCCGAATAATCCATAGAGATGACCCGAAGACCCAATAATACGATCAGTTGACCATACGACCCAATTGTTTGACTCTGTGATTGACCTCATAGGGTCGTCGAATGACCTTTCACTGTCCACTCCTTCCTTCCGGTCTGAATAATCTGAAGAGATAACCTCTTGACCTCATGACTGACCTCTTCACCTTATGAGAGGTCACCAAGTGACCTCTTGACCTTCATTGAATTTACCTATTGACTGCAATGTCCTTCAGAATCTGAATAATCTGTAGAGATGTTCCTAAGACTCAATCATCTGATCCCTTGATTGACCCTTTAACCTTACTGGGGGTCACCAAATGACCTCTTGACCTTAAGTGAAATGACCTCTTGAACTTAATCTCTACCAGGATCTGAATAATCCAAAGAGATAACCTGATCCTCTGACTCTCCTTAGGGTCCAAATACCTCGAACCCTGGTTGACCCCTTGAGGCCCCCGGTTGACCCCTTGACAAGGCCCCCGGTTGAGTGACTGCTGGCGGGTTCAGCACTTGGGGGAAGGGAAGAGGCGCCCTCCAGTGGGGGACAGGAAGAAGCGGCTGTTGCGCCCATTGAGACGCATGGATGGGACAGCGGCGGTCAAGCGGTCAGCCCCATGCCTGGGGGAGAGGTTGAGCAACGCCTGGAGGCCCCTCTCAGGGGTTGCGAGGTTGCGATTTGAAACTGGGCATCGGAAGGCGCTTCCTTCGGATGATCGCCGCTCTGTCTTCTCCGCGTTCGAACCACCACCTTCTAGAACCTTCTTGACCTTCTGGAAGGGGGAGTTGGGGCTGGGGGCAAAGGTCACAGCCTCACTGGTGACAATGGAGAAGCCGCCGTATTCGTCCTCCTCGTCCTCTTCATCCTCCTCATCGTCTTTGGTCCTTCTGGCCGACGAAGCAATGGAGCTGAGGCTGTAGAGGGACAAGGCGTCCGACGAAGGGCCAAGATGGCCATCCAGGCAGAGGGGCGGGGCCGAGGCCAAAGGGGGCGGGGCTGAGGAGGAGGCCAGGGACTCCAAAGAGGAGGAGCTGTCCAGGCTCAGCCGCTTCGGCACCTCCGCCCAATCTGAACACAGAAAAAAAATATATACTAAGAAAAACATAGAATTTAATCGGGAAAAATATTAGAACTTAATCAGTAAAAATATTAGAATTTAATGTTTAAAATATTAAGAGATAAATGACCTGATGGCCTTTACAGAAAACATAGAATATAGGAATTTAATCAGGAAAAATAATAGAATTTAATGAGGTTAAATATTAGAACTAGATGAGCCAATGCCCTTTAAGGAAAACGTAGAATTTAATCAGGAAAAATATTAGAATTTAATTTTAATAATATTAGAAAGGAGAGATAGATGACCTGATGACCTTTAAGGAAAACATAGAATTTAATCAAGAAAAATATTAGAATTTAATGAGGGAAAATATCAGAAAGAAGAGATAGATGAGCCAATGCCCTTTGAGGAAAGTATAGAATTTAGTCAAGAAAAATAATAAAATTTAATGAGGGGAAATATTAGAAAGAAGAGATAGATGAGCTGATGCCCTTTAAAGAAAACATAGAATTGAAAAATATTAGAATTTAATGAGGGAAAACATTAGAGAGAAGAGATAGATGACCCAATGGCCTTTAAGGAAAATATCGAATTTAATCAGGAAAAATATCAGAATTTAATTTTTTAAATATTAGAAAGAAGAGATAGATGACCCAATGGAAAACGTAGAATTCAATCAGGAAAAATTATTACAATTTAATGTAGAAAAACAATATAACTTAATTTTAATAATATTAGAAAGAACAGATGGATGACCCAATGGCCTTTGAGGAAAACGTGAAATTTAATTGGGAAAAATATTACAATTTAATGTAGAAAAAGATTAAAATTTCATTATAATAATATTAGAAAGACGAGATAGATGAGCCAATGACTTCTAAGAAAAACGTAGAATTTAATCGGGAAAAATATTAGAATTTCATGCAGAAAAATATTAGAATTTAATTGAGATAAATATTTTCTCCTCCTTACCAAAGAGGGCCATGAGGGCTTGGAGGGCGAAGGTCAAGGGGCGTCGCCCAGCCTGCTTCCCCGTCTTCAAGATGACCTCTTCCTGACCTACTTCGCACAAGTCGAAGCCTGGGAAATAATAATTTTAAAAATAATCATAATCATAATATACAAATAATATGATAATAATATATATCATTTAATAATATTGTAATAATATATAATAATATGTAAAATGAATTTTTAATTTATTATATTATATAACTAACTTGGAGACCCGGCGCTGCCTGGGTTATTTGAGAAAGGCATTGTGCGCCAAGGTTGGTCTTTATCAGTTATTCATGTGGCTCGCAGTGCTCTCAGGAAGTTAGTAGGTACTGCGAGTCCCATCATCTGTGGTCCATCATCCTCCAAACAGCATCAGGATGTAGAGTGGGTCATGGGGGCTCTGTGTGCCAAGTTTGGTCTTGATCAGTTATTGGATGAGGTTCGCAGCAGTCTCGGGAAGTGAGTGAAGGTACTTCAAGTCCCATCATCTGTGGTCTATCCTCCACCAAACCACACCAGGATGTAGAGTGGGTCATGGGGGCTCTGTGTGCCAAGTTCGGTCTTGATCAGTCACTGGATGAGGGTTGCAGCGGTCTCGGGAAGTGAGTGGATGTACTGCAAATCCCATCATCCTTGGCCCACCCTTCTCCAAACAGCAGTGGGATGTAGAGTGGGTCATGGGGGCTCCGTGTGCCAAGTTTGGTCTTTATCGGTCTTTGCTGGGGGCCACAGTGGTCTGTGGGAACCGATGGGTTTGAAAGTACTCCAAATCCCATCATCCTTTGTCTGCCCTGCCCCAAACCTCACCAGGATGTAAAGGGGGTCATGGGGGTTATGTGTGCCAAGTTTGGTCCAGGTCTGTCACCCGTGCTGGTCACAGTGGCCTGTGAAAGTGGCAGCCAATCAGAAAGCTGCCACATACACCGTCCTCCGCATACAAACACTGACTTTTATTATATACATAGATAGATAGATATAATTAAAATAATTTAATATAATCATATAATATAATGTAATTATAATATAAAATTATATTATATCATAAATTAATCTATATAAATAAAAATGTAATGTTCGTTTGTGGGATTAACATAACTCAAAAACCACTGGACAAATTGACATCAAATTTGGACACAATGTACCTATCAGGCCAACAAGTGGCCATCACTCATAAAAACACTGAAAAAGACAGTGGAAGAGACTTAAAAAGCCAAAAAATAAAAAATACATTACAATGCATGCACAAAACCACATATATATATATACATATGTATACACACACCCACATGACACATATACACAGACTGGGGAACAGCAACGCATGGCAGAGGATGGCTAGTATAACAATATATTTACAGTGCTGGCCTTGCATTGAATATTTGTCTCAGAGAGAGATGTTTCCCAGGGAAAATAAATAATCTTGTAAAATAATATATAAAATAATGTAATATAATAATATTTATAATCTATATATATAAAAAGAGAAAGGGCGTCCAATGGGACAGCAAAACTAAAAAAAAACCCGACGAAAACTTACCAAATTTACCATGCACATACCTCAACCCACAAGGTATGCACAAACCGATTCAAAATTCTAAACAACATTTCTACACACTCACAATAACAAAAACCAACTGAGCATGCGCAAAGCCGCCCCGCCACAAGTCCCCGGTGCGCGCACATGGCCGGCCGGCCAACGAAGTCCCCAGCGTGCGCGCATGGCCGGTCGGCCAACGAAGTCCTCGACGCGCGCACATGGCCGGCCGGCCAACGAAGTCCCCGGCGCGCGCACATGGCCGGCCGGCCAACGAAGTCCCCGGCGCGCGCACATGGCCGGCCGGCCAATGCCCCCTCTGCGCAAGCCATGCCCCCATCCTCTGTCGCCCTGCCCCTACCCTCCCATACGCCCTCTTTCCAATGCACCCTCTGTTCACGCCACGCCCCCCACGTTCACGCCACGCCCCTACCCTCCCCCGCCCCGCCTCTAAATCCATCCCTCCTCCCCCTCCTTCTTCTTCCCCCGCCCACACCCCTCCAAGGAATCCACGCCCCCTCCAAACCCCGCCCTGCCCCTTCCCGCCCTGTCCAAATCCATCCCTCCTCCCCCTCCTTCTTCTTCTCCTGCCCACGCCCCCTCCAAGGAAGCCACGCCCCCTCCAAACCCCACCCCACCCTGTCCAAATCCATCCCTCCTCCCCCTCCTTCTTCTTCCCCCGCCCACGCCCCCTCCAAGGAAGCCACGCCCCCACCCCCCCTCCAAACCCCGCCTGTCCAAATCCATCCCTCCTCCCCCTCCTTCTTCCCCCGGCCACGCCCCCACGGAAGGAAGGGAGGGAAGGTGTATGAACGAAGGAAGGAGAAGAAGGAAGGAAGAAAAGGCAAAAGAGGAAGAGAATTAAGAAAAAGGAAGGAAGGGGAAAGGAAGAAA